CTCCGAGGGGCTGTGCCGGGGGGTGTCCCGGGAGGGGTCCCCCTGGCCGGGAGGGCCCCCGGGGCAGATGAGGAGCCCCATGGCAGGGAAGGGTCCCTATGGCCAGGAGGGGTCCCCAAGGTAGCCAGGGTCCTCATGTAGGATATTTGCCCCATGGCTGAGGAGGGGTCCCCAAGGTAGCCAGGGTCCTCATGTAGGATATTTGCCCCATGGCTGGGGAGGGGTCCCCACGGCCAGGAGGGCCCCCATGGCAGGGAATATCCCCAAGGAGGCCAGGAGGGGTTCCCACGGTAGCCCCAGAATAGCTATGTGTTGCCCCAGATGTTGGGGGGCAGCAGGTTTGGCCACATCATGGGTGACAGGAGTCCTCCTGTGGGCCCCTGGGGATGAGCCACTGGTGATATTTATTGTCCCCAAGGCTCAGCTCTGGCTGCCTGGGACCCTCACCTAAACCGCTGCCTCAGTTTCCCCCACAATGGTGCTGCCCCCAGCACTGTCAGCTCAGGGCCGTGCTGGCCCCAGAGCACCTCAGGGCAGAGCTGCCCGTGAGGTGCAGGTGAGGGGAGTGGGTGCCCAGGGAGGTCAGGGTGTGCCTGCCGGGGCGGACAGGCCCAGTCCTGCGTGGGTGCTGTGGGCAGGGCAGGAGCTGGCCCTGTGCCACAGAGGGAGGCCTTTGCTCCTGCCGCTGCACTGGGCCATGCGTGGCTTTGGGCATGGGGCCGTGCGCCTGGAGCTGCTCGGTTTAGTGTGGCTGTGTGTCTGCTGAAGTTCTGCGTGTCCATGTGTCCCTGGGTCTGTGTGCCCATGGGTCTGTGCATCCATATGCTTGTGCATCCATGTGCCTGTGTCTGTGTGTCCTTGCATCAGTGCATCCAAGCATCCATCTGTCCCTGCATCTGTGTGTCCGTGCATCCATGTATCCATATATTCCTGTACCTGTGTATCCATGTGTCCATGCATTGGTACATCCATACATCCATGCATCCATCTATCCTTGCATTCATGTGTCTGTGCATCCATACACCCCAGCATCCCTATGTCCAGGCATTCGTGTGCCTCTGTGCTGGTGCATCTTTATGTCCATGCACCCCTATGTCCATTTGTCCATGCACCCATATGCTTGTTCATCCATGCATCCACATACCTGTGTGTCCTTGCATCAGTGCATCCATGTATCCATCCATCCCTGCATCCATATACCCCTGCATCTGTATATCCATGCATCCATGTGTCCATGCGTCTGTGTGCCCATGCATCCATATACTTGTGCACCTGTGACCCTATGTGCCCATATGTTCAAGCATCCGTGTGTCCGTGCATCCATGTGCCCATGTGCCTGTATCCATGTGTCCATGCATCCGTGCATCCATGTTTGTGCATCTATGTGTCCGTGTATCCATGTGTCCTGGCATCAGTGCATCCATACATCCCTGCATCTGTATATCCATGTGTCCGTATGTCCATACATCCATACACTTGTGCAACTGTGACCCCATGTGCCTGTGTGTCTGAGCATCCGTGTGTCCACACATCTGTGTGCCCATGTGCCTGTATCCATACATCCATATGCTTGTGCATCCATGCATCCGTGTGTCCATATCTGCCCTCTGAAGGTGCGCTCAATTCTGCACTGCGGGCAGGATGTGACCATGCAGGAGGCAGTGGCAGCTGGTGGCCATGTCCCTGAGGCTGTGGCCAGCTCAGGATGTCCCTGCTCGGCCCCAGCCGGCCGCTTCCCAGCCCAGCAGCAGCCTCTCCGGCCGGAGCAGGGACACAGGCACTGGGGCTGTTCTTAAGGAGTGGTTGCCAAAACAAAAAGGGAGGAAATAACTGGTTTTTGGAGAATAGACGGAAAAGTCCCAGCCCTGCTGTGAGCCCAGGCGTGGGCCTGCAGATCCCCAGAGGCCACCCCATCCGTGTGCCTGGCCTGACCTCCGCTGCCAGCACCATCCCGGCACTCCCCATGTGGGATTTGGGCAGCTTTGCTCGGATTTAGCAGTTGGGCTGTGCCATGCGAGCAGGGCTCTGCCACCGCGCTGTGGTGCCCTGTCCCTCCCAGCCAGCCACATGGTGCCCCAAATGGGCTCAATGGCAGTGGCTCGTTCTGTCAGGTCTCTCCTGTTTGTCCTGTCCCATCCCATCCCATCCCATTCCGTTCTGTCTTGACTGCCCTGTCCCACCCCGTCTGTCCCACCATGTCTCATCCCACCCTGTCTGCCCTGTCCCATCCCGTGATGTCCTATCCTGTGCCATCCCATCCCATCCCATCCTGCCATGTTTGTTCCACCCAACTCTGTCCCATCTGGTCCTGTCTGCCCCACCCTGTCCTGTACCATCCTACCAGTCCCATCTTGTCCCATCGTGTCCTATCTGTACTGTCACATCTTGTCATATGTGTCCCATCCTATGTCATCCCATTGCCGCCTTCTGTCCATCCCATCCTGTCCTGTCCCATCCCTCCATCCTGTCCCATGCTATGCTGTGCCATCCCATCCCATCCCATCCCATCCCATCCCATCCCATCCAATCCCATCATGTCTGTCCTGTCCTGTCTGTCCCATGCCATCCCATCCCATCTTGTCCCATCCCATCCTTCCATCCTGTCCCATGCTTTCCTGTGCCATTCCATCCCATCGTGTCTGTCCCATCCCATCATATCCCATCCCATCGCATCACGTCTGTCCTGTCCCATCTGTCGCATCCTGTCCTGTCTGTCCCATGCCATGCCATGCCGCCATGCCACCCATCCCACCCCATCCCATCCCATCCCATCCCATCCCATCCCATCCCATCCCATCCCATCCCATCCCATGTGCAGGGATGTACGCATGCAGGTGTGCACTGAGCCCCCCCACTCCCACCCAGTACCCCTAGTACACACCACAGAGCCTCCAGTACCTTCCAGTGCCACCCAGTAGCCCCCCTGGTAGCTGTGCAGGGTGCTCACAGGCTGGTCCCCCGCAGGCCTGACGGAGGACGAAGACATCCAGCGGATGCTGCGGGGCTCCCTGCTCCGGAAGATCAAGTCCCGGGGGGGGCCCAGGGAGCGGCTCTTCTGCCTGCAGGAGGACGGGGCGACCATCTGCTTCGAGGGGGGCTTCAGGCACGCTCGCTCCCAGCAGAGCTGTGAGTGCCAGCGCTGGGGTTCATCCCCCGGGGGCTTGGGGACTCTGGGCCACATCCTGCACAGCTTCGAGCTGCAGGGAGGGGTTGGGACCTGGGCAGTGCCCCAAACCCACCTGTGGGGACCTGGGCATGAGCTGGGACCCAGATCCCCATCCAGGACTCAGACCCCAGCCCAGGACCCAGATCCCAACAAAGGACCTAGCCCACAGTCTGGGACCTGGACCCCCGCCCAGAACCTGGACCCCAATCCAGGATCCAGACCCCCACCCAGGTCTCCCACCTGGGACCCAGACCCCAGCCCAGGACCCAGACCCCCATCCAGGACCCAAGACCCCATCCTGGGACCCAGACCCCAATCCAGGACCCAGCTGCCCACCTGGATCCCCACCTGGGACCTGGACCCTCACCAGGGACCCAGACACCATCCCAGCACCCAGATCCCAATCCAGGACCCAGAACCCCACCCAGGACCCAGACCCCAATTTAGGACCTCACCCCCAGTCTAGGACCCAGACCCTGACCCAAGATATGGACCCCAGTCCAGAACACAGACTGTCACCCAGGATCTGGAACCCAACCCACTGCACCCAGTGTCTCCCAGTGCCTTTCAGTGCTTCCAGTGCACCCCATTACATCCCAGTGCACCCCAGGCTGAGTCCCCCAGAGCCCACACTCTTCCCCATCCCCCTTGGGACCAGCATGATGTCCCGTCTTCCGACCAGAGTCTGTCCCCACTCCCTGGCGTCACCCGTCTCTTTTCACCCTCATCTGGGATGGCTGCCCAGAGCTGGCACCACTGTGAGACAGCTCCATCCCCTGCTGGTGTCCCCATCCCCGCAGGGGACAGCGGCCATGGCTCCTGTCTCGCCTGGGATTAGTGGGTTAAGCCCGGCTGCGACAACAACAGGAACCAAGCCCTGGTCCCCTGGGGTGCCCCTGGGGACGTGTAGGGTGTCCATCAGCAGCCCAGGATGTCTTGTAGAATGCTCATGGGTGGGGCAAATGCTGAGGGACTACCTCCATCCCTGGGGTGGCCCCCTCACCGCGCGTGTCCCTGCAGTCTCGGTGATGCACATTGAGGGGGTGCGCGAGGGACACCAGTCAGAGGGTCTGCGCAAGCACGGTGCCGCCTTTCCCGCGCGGCACTGCTTCACCCTCGTCTTCAAGGGCAAGCGCAAGAACCTTGACCTGGCTGCCCGGAGTGAGGATGATGCCCGCCACTGGGTGCAAGGGCTCACCAAGCTGATGGGGCGCCTGCAAGCCATGAGTCAAACGGAGAAGCTCGACCAATATCCTTTGTTGGAGCTATGGGGGCTTGGGGACAGGTTGGGGATGGCCGTGGGGGGTGACACCAGCTGATTTCCTTACCCTGGCATAGCTGGATCCACGGAGTCCTGCAGCGAGCAGACAGGAACAAGGACAACAAGATGTCCTTCCGGGAGGTGAAGAGCATGCTGAGGATGATCAACATTGACATGGATGATGTCTACGCCTACAAGCTCTTCAAGGTACCCATCCTGTGCTCCATCACTGTCATCCTCCATTTCTGTCACTATGAGGGAATGTTGGCTCCTTCTCTGCCTTCCCATGCACAGAGAACTGTCAAATTCATCACACCCAAAGCCACTCACCATCACCAATGGTTGGGTCCACCACCAGTGGTTGGGTCCCATCATGAGGAGGAGCACATCATGAGGTGGGGGGAGCTGTCCCCCCTACTGCTCTGTGGATCCCTGAGCTGTGATGTTTTCCCCCCATGGGATGCTGTCCCCATGGGTATCTTCCAAGGTCCCTTTCCACCTGGGGAAATTGAGGCACGGCACTCTGCTCTGCTCCATCCCAGGCTGGAGGGTCAGAGGGCTATGGGTTGGAGGACAGAGGGGACATTCCCCCACATACCCCTGGGCACAACCCATCCCTGAGCCCTCATGCCAAAAAACCCCCAAACTCATCACCCACCCTGCCAACCCCAGGGGACAGGCAGGACAAGGCAGGGGGTGGCCATACCCCCTCCCTGTGGGCAGGGGACAGTCCCTGAGGTTGGGCTGTGGTCCCATCAGGAGTGCGACCACTCAGGCAATGAGCGGCTGGAGGGCCGGGAGCTGGAGGAGTTTTGCCGACGGCTGCTGCGGCGGCCGGAGCTGGAGGAGCTTTTCGGGCGTTACTCGGGCGAAGACCATGTCTTATCGGCTGAGGAGCTGCGGGATTTCCTACGGGATCAGGGCGAGGATGCCAGCCTGGACCAGGCCCGTGCCATCATCCGTACCTACGAGCTCAACGAGAAGGGTAGGGCTGAGGACAGCCAGCTCGGGTGGCGGTGGGATGCTGGGATGGGTGCTGCTGGAGCCAAGGGAGGTCATGGATGGCATGGGATGGGGCTCTGCTTGGTGGTGTCACCCCCCCAAGCTGGTATGGGGTCCTCCAATGCTTGGCTGAGTGTCCCTGTGTCCCTTCCCCAGGGTGGCACTGGGTGTCAGCAGTCCAACACATGGTCTTTCTGGTCCCTAGTGGATGTGGCACTGTGGGGACAGGGGACATGAAGGTGGGGATGGACAGCAGGTGGACCTCCATATCTTCTGGGTGATGCAGCACCAGCCCTAGCATGAATATGGCACTGCCAGGGGACCTCCATGTCCCTGAGGTCCCACCATAGCAGGTCCAGGGTGAACATGGCACTAGGAGGACAAGGGGATGGGAATTAAGGACCTCCATGTCTCTTGGGTATCACAGTAGTACCCCTAGGGTAGATGTGGCACTAGCAAGATGGGGGATATCAGGCTGGAGATGGGACACCAGGGGGACCTCCATGTCCCCTGGGTGCCACAGAGCCAGGTCTGGGGTGAACATGACACTGAGGACAGAGGACGTTAGCGTGGGGACAGGGAACCTCCACATCTCATGGGTGCCACCATGCCAGGTCCAGGGTGAATGTGGCACCAGCAGGGTGAGCAACGTCAGGGTGGAGATGGGACACTCAAGAGGACTTACATGTCCCCTGTGTGCCACAGTGCCAGGTCTGGGGTGAACATGGCACTTCTGGGAGACAGGGGACACCCAGTGGGGACAGTCCCTGGGGTGCCGCCCTGCCAGCAGCATGCCAGGCCTCTGCAACACCCCACCGCTCTGTCCCACAGCCAGGCAGCAGGACCTGATGATGCTGGATGGCTTCATGATGTACCTCCTCTCGGCTGCCGGTGACATCCTCAACCAGGAGCACACCAAGGTGCACCAGGACATGAGCCAGCCCCTGTGCCACTACTTCATCTCCTCCTCCCACAACACCTACCTGACCCGCAACCAGATCGGTGGCACCAGCAGCACTGAAGCCTATGTCAGGTGGGTGCCCCTGGTCAGATGCACCATGCCCAGATGGTCCCATGGTCTGAGGGTGCCGGGGCGGCGCAGGGACTCATCCGGTGATGGTGCGGTGGCAGGGCACTGATGGCGGGATGCCGTTGCGTGGAGCTGGACTGCTGGGAGGGCTCCGACGGGGAACCCGTCGTCTACCATGGCCACACGCTCACCTCCAAAATCCTCTTCCGCGATGTCATTGAGAGCATCCATGACTACGCCTTCAAGGTGAGCTGGGTGCCAGCCACCCTGGGACGGATGCTGGGTGCCGGATGCTGAGTGCTGCCCGTCCCCATCCCCAGCAATCGCCCTACCCTGTCATTCTGTCCCTGGAGAACCACTGTGGGCTGGAGCAGCAGGCCACCATGGCCCGGCACATGAAGGCCATCCTGGGGGACATGCTGCTAACACAGCCGCTGGAGGGGCAGGACCCCCATCACCTCCCGTCCCCAGAGGTAAGGCCACCCGCCCACCCACCACGGTGTCCCCGTGGCCCCTCTGAGCCCTGAGCTCAGCCCTTCCTCCCACAGCAGCTGAAGGGGAAGGTCCTGGTGAAAGGCAAGAAGCTGCCAGAGCCATGGCATGAGCCCCAGGGTGTCACCTCTCTTCCGGACCCTGAGGAGGAGGAAGAGGAGGAGGAGGAAGAGGAAGAGGATGAGAAGCTGCAGGGGAAAAGCAGCCGGCAGGTAAGGGGCTCTCCCAGGGTTATGGTGCTGGGGGACCATGGCATCCCGGTGGTCCTGGAGGACCACAGCATCCCGGAAGTGCCACGGGATGTGTCCCAGTAGTGTCCCAGTAGTGTCCCAGTAGTGTCCCAGTAGTGCTGGGGCCTGGGGCAGGTCAGCACCGCCAGCATCCCCCAATGCAGCCCTGCTCTCTCCTCTTCCAGTCGCTGCAGTCGCTGCAGGAGATCAAACCTTTGCAGGTGGGTCATGTTATGGAGCTGGGTGGGCTGACGGGTTGGCTACCATGGGGGTGATGAGTGGCTGTCACTGCCCAGCAGAGGGGACTGAGCTTGGGGACTCCTTGGCTGTGCCTCCCTCTTCCCCCATCGGGCTGGGTGCTCCATTTCTGGGGTCTCCATTGCTTTGAGATCTCCATGACCTTGGGTCTCCATCACTTCGGGGTCTCCATCACCTCCAGGGTGACCCCTCAGGGTCTCCATTGCCTTGGGGGTTGCTCTCCATTGCCTCAGTTCTCCATCACTTTGGGGTCTCCATCACCTTGAGGTCTCTGTCACCTCAAATTCTCCATCATCTTGGGTCATCCATCACTTCAGGGTCTCTATCACCTTGAGGTCTCTAACATCTTGGGTTGTCCATCACCTTGGGTTCTCCATGACCTCAGGGTCTCAACATGCTTCGGTTTTCCATCATCTCAGGGTCCATCACTCCATTGCCTCAGGCTCTCCATCACTTTGGGGATCTCCATGACCTTGGGGGTCTCAGCACTTAGCACTAGCAGGGTAGGGGGGTCTGTAGACCCTCAGGCAGGCAGGTCACCAGAGCCAGGGCAGCACTGACACCACGGTGATTCCCGCAGGCCAAGGACGCATCACAGGTGGCCCCAGAGCTGTCAGCCATGGTGGTGTACTGCCAGGCTGTCCCCTTCCCTGGCCTGGCCCACGCCCTGCGCCACCCCCGGCCCTGTGAGATGTCATCCTTCAGTGAGAGGAAGGCTCGGAAGCTCATCAAGGAGGCAGGTGAGGGCAACGGGATGGGGACAGGGATGGGGATGGAGTGACTCCATGCTCCTGACCTCACTGGAATGCAGGATGGGGCTGAGACCAGTGGGCTCTGTCACCGGGGTGGCTCCATGGGTGGTGGCCAGGGGTGCACTGGCCTCGGCTGCTCTGGTCTGGTGGGACTGGGGTCTGGTGTCAGGGTTTGGGGCCAGAGGCCAGGGTGAAGGTTACAGGTCCAGGATCTGGTGTAAGGGTCTGGGGTCAGGGTTTGAGATGTGGCATCTGGGTCCAGGGCCAGGTCTGGGGTCTAGGGTCAGGGTCTGGGCTTTGGGTTCAGGGTCCAGGGTCAAGGATCTGGGGTCAAGGCGCAGGGTCAAGGTCGGGATCTGGGGTCCAGGGTCCAGGGCTGGGATTAAGATCTGGGTCAGGGTCCAGGGTCTGTGGTGTAGGTTTGGAGTCTGGGGTCCAGGGTCTGCGGTGTAGGTTTGGAGTCTGAGGTCCAGGGTCAAGATCTGGGGTCAGGGTCTGGGATCCAGGGTCAAGGTCCAGGGTCAGGGTCTGGGTTCTAAAGTCAAGGCGCAGGGTCAAGGTCAGGATCTGGGGTCAGGGTCCAGGGCTCAGATTAAGATCTAGGTCAGCATCCAGGGTCTGAGGTCTGGGGTCAGGGTCTGGGCTCAGGGGTCCAATGTCAAGGTCCAGGGTTGGGATCTGAACCCCAGGGTCCAGTTTCAGGGTCTGGGTCATGTTTCAGGATCTGGGTCCACCCAACCTGGCTCCATCCACACCCCAGACACACGGGTGCAGGCAGGACACTCCCACCTGCTGGCAGGGCCCTGCACTGGCACCCGTGGGTGCAGTGGCCCCGCTCAGCTGTTCCCACCCCCCCGCCCAGGCCCGGCCTTGGTCCGGTACAACGCCCAGCAGCTCAGCCGCATCTACCCGCTGGGGCTGAAGATGAACTCCTCCAACTACAACCCCCAGGAGATGTGGAACGCTGGCTGCCAGCTGGGTGAGACGCCACAGTCCCCCAGGGGACACCCCATGACCTGGCACCGCCCCCCCCAGAGCTGTCACCCACCCTGACACCCCGTCCCCCTGTCCCCACAGTGGCCCTCAACTTCCAGACGCCGGGCTATGAGATGGACCTGAACGCCGGGCGCTTCCTGAGCAACGGGTGCTGTGGTTATGTGCTGAAGCCCCCCTGCCTGCGCAGCCCCCCCGGAGAGGTGCCCCAACGCCTGGCGCTGCACATCAGGGTGAGGGCACCCGCTCCCCCAGCCCCATGCCCGGGTGGGTGCCACCCACATCCCTGCTGGGTGACGCCCATGACAGTCCCATGTCTGGCCAGGTGCCCCTCCTGTCCTTTCTGGGTGACACCAACCCCATGTCCAGCCAGGTGCCACTTGCACACCTTCTCCTGGGTGACACCAACCCCTCTTCTCCTGGGGACACTGACCCTGTCCTCACATCTGTTTGGGTACCATCCATGCCCCACTCCTGGATGACATTGACCCCAATCCCAAGACTGCCCAAGTGCCACCCATGTCCCTTCTCCTGGGGACACCAGCTCTGTCCCCACACCCAGCCATGTGCCACCCACAACCCTTCTCCTGGGGACACCAGCCCTGTCCCCGCACCCAGCCATGTGCCACACGGGTCCCTTCTCCTGGGGCCCGCCCCCCCGGCATCCCGGCTGACTGCAGCAAGCAGCAGACCCACCACAAGCTCAACAACGGTGAGCGCCCGCCGGGCCACCACAGCCCGGCCACCAGTCCCCGGGGACACCCCAGGGCACCCAATCCCCAGGGGCACCCCAGGGCACCCAGTCCCCATGATACCCCAGGGCACCCAGTCTCTTAGAGGCAGCCCAGGGTAGCTTGATCCCCAAAGCACCCCAGGGCATCTGGTCCCTTAGGGAAACCGCAGGGCACCCAGTCCCCAGGGTCACCCCAGGGCACCCAATCACCAGGGGCACCCCAGGGCACCCTGAACCACAGGGACACCCCAAGGTGCCCAGATCCCCAGGGCACCCTGACCCCCAGGGGTGGCAGAGCCCTCGGGCACCCAATACCCTGGGCACCCACTTCCCCCTGCACCCCAGCCACACCCACCCCACCCCCCGAGTTAAGCCGGTGCCCAGGACATCCCAGTCCCCTCCAGTGCACCCCAGTCTTTCAGTGTCCTGTCCCCAGCACAGCACAATCCCCTCCAGTGGCAGGACCCTGGCACGTCCCAGTTCACCCCAGTGCTGCTTCCTCCTCCCCTCCAATATACCCAGCCCAAACCCAGTGTGACCCCCATTCCCCCAGTATAGCCCATCACAGCACCACTATGACCCCCCACGGCACCAGCCTGGCCTCAGTATGATGCCCATTCAACCAGTATACACCATCCTGACCCAGTATGAACCCCCATTGCCCCAGTATACCCTGGCTTGGCCCCAGTATGACCCCTATTCCCCCAGTATAGCCCATCACAGTCCCAGTATGACCCCCATTCCCCCAGTATAACCCATCACAGTCCCAGTATCACCTCCACTCCCCAAGTCAGCCCAGTCTTCACACACCCCAGTGCAGGATGGCAGCTAAGCCAGGGCAGGGGTGAGCACACCGGTGGGTCAAGCTGGTCCTTGTGTCCGGGGTGGCGGGTGGCCCTGGTGGCCACAGTGGCTGTGGTGGCAGTGCCCACCCCCACCCTGGTGGTGCTGTAGGCTTCAACCCGCGCTGGGAGGAGAC